CTGGCTCTTCGTTTTGTTTAATACAGTATGTTCTTTTTTGGCGTTTGCACCACAGGTTGTTGGGAATGGAGTTTTGTAGGGTGTTGGTAAGTATGGGTAGAGCTGCTCCCCCGCCCAGGTGGGGTGGGGGGGTTTGCAGGAAGGATTCTCTTTGCGCTTTCCATACTTGAGCTGGAAGAAAAGGACTGATCGTCCCAAGTGTGAGTCAATCGGCAGATTTGGGAGCAACCTTGGGTTTTTTTGGACAGGTACCTTTGTGCGTGTGGGGGGAAAACAAGGGAGAGGAAAAGAATGTGTCTCCCCCCCCCCGGGAGGTGATAGCCCTGCTAATCTTCATTCTAAGATTTGGAAGGTGTCTTGTCTTCCTTGGGAGCACCAGAGACTATCAAAATTAGAGTGAGTTTTTCGCCACATAGATCCTTGCCTCTTGAGCAATAAATTTTTCAAAAACACGTCGAGGCATTGTGTTCTCAGCAACCTCTGAGACTTCTGTTTGGGAATATAAAATAGCTGTCTTCAGATCAGAAAAGTGACTCTCCTATACCACACACAAACACACACACATTTCTGCAACAGGTTCCTTGATAGGAACATCTTTTGCTCACTTTATGGTCTTCTTGTGGACTATTGTCTTCTTGATTATGCATCTCAACATGTTACGGGGTGCACAGGTGTGGGGATGACACTTCTGTGATTCTCTTACAATAATGCTGGAAAGTAGCAGAAAACCATTGGCCCCCAACTCCGTGTATGTGAGAGCAGGTATGGAGAGTAGGTTAAAGCTGGTGATATGAAGGCAAGCTGAGATTTAGAAATGGGAAGCTCAAGGACTGCACCTGGTGGGCAAGATGCAGGAATTGCTGGACCAGATGTTGGGGCAGATGTCAAGATGCACGAACCAACAGAACTGGCAGAAGCCGGGAGGATACAGGGATAAAAAGCCCGTCATAATTCTTCTTTTCATTGGACTTTGTTTTGTTACTGTTCACAGGCAGCTACATATTCATAACAATGGGTGTGCATCTGTGCGTGTGCGTGTTTGTGCACCTTTTCTAGCCTGTCTTTCTTTCCATAACAACTGTGTTTTATGTATCTGGCAATTTTTTTTCCCTGGGAGTATGCGCAAGGCCAAATAAATCTCCAGCGGGGGGTGCATGCATATGCATCTACAATTACTTGTTTGCACTCTGTGGTGTTACTGCAGTTGTATAAGGGCTCTCATGTGTCTCAGCCTGTATTTATAATCCAGTCAAGCTGAGTGCATCTCAGTGTGCTTGTGCGTATCTGCCATGTTCCTTTCAGAAAAGAGAAAAAGTGTCTGGTGCGTTGCCTAAGGGATGTGCAGACCTTTGTGCTGCCCCCTCCCCAATGTATCACTCTACTCCGAGTGTCTCAGGGTAATATCTGAGTGAATTATGTCATCCATAAATCTATTTGTACAGCAGTCGTAATGGATGTGAGATAAAACTCTTCCTTCTTACAGAGAGAGAATAAGGGAATAAGGAAAAGGGCAGAATGTTTGGGCCATGGGTCAACGACGAGACATTTCTGAGGATACCAATTCCAGGAAGACAGAGGAATGGAGTGAAAACTGTGGAGAAAGAGAGATGAGGGCATGACAGGAAATGATCACAGAAACAAGATCTGGAATAGCAAGAACTGGAGATGTACAGTATTTTGGAAAGAGGTAATGCTATCCCAGCTGCGGCAGGTCAAGAAAGGGATAGAGTGTTTTCGTTTCGTAAGTCAAATCACAGTGTACAGTGGACCCTCGACTTACAGACGGCTCGACTTACAGACTTTTCGAGTTACAGACTTCTCTGGCTGCAAAATTTAGATTCGACTTGCAGCCGGAGAATCGAGTTACAGACCAGAAAAAAACCAAAATGGAACAAAAATAGAATAAAAACTGCCGGTTATGAGATTAATCGGTTTTCAGTGCATTGTAGGTCAATGGAGATTCGACCTACAGACTTTTCGACTTGCAGCCACCGTTCCAATACGGATTAATTCCGTAAGTAGAGGGTCCACTGTATTTTACATCTTGTTCTTATTTATTATGGAATGGGAGGAAAGGTGCTATATCCTCAACTCTGCCATGGTGGAGTATCAAATGCCCTCCTATAATTATTGAACATAGCTCTCCTCGTTCCAGTTTATACAGGCTAGGACTGATGGATCTGCAACCCAAGAACATCGGCAGGGCCCCGTCCCTGAAGTACCTTACTTGGGAGCAAGCTTGACAATTTGTTTTATTTTAGCAGCTCTTGCTTCTGTGACAGCTCTGCAGCCAGTAGAGGGTGATTGACGTTGATCTCCATGGCATGAAAAGCATCAGCAACTGCTTTCTGAAGCTATTGTTAGAGTCAGAAGAGAGACCAGATTTAAAAAGGGAGGAAAAACTATGCCTGATAAGTTGGCAGTACTGACGGGGCCAATGTGTACATTCAACCATATCATATAAAGAAGCTTTTCCTGGACTTTACCACTCTAGGCAGAAAGGAGGGAGTAGTCACGTGTGCACAAACATGCCCACTGCAGTTTACAACTTCATACAGAGGGCTAGCTGCTCCTCCTCTTTATGCAGGGAAGATTCAAAGGTGTGAGCTCTTCCTCCACGACTTGGCAAACAGTCCGAAATGGTACAGCATACTGTACTCCTAACAAAACTTTTGCCACCAAGGAGTCTTCTAATCACCACCAAACTCCACAGGATAGCTCATTGACTTGGGTATTGGACTGCAGAGCCAGAGGTTGGAAGTTTGATTCCCCATTGTGAGTACAGCCAGCCTGGGTGGCCTCAGGCAAGCTGCACAGACCCCGGATGCCCCCAGAAGAAGGGAATGCTAAAAGAGTTCTGAATATTCTGTAAAGGTTGACAGAAGTTAGAGATGACTTGACAGCACATAATAATAATTATTAGTAGTATACTCATCAGACGGGGAGAAAAATAAGTTACAGAAAAGAGCCAGGGAGCCCATGATTTCAGCCAGCTGCTGTAACTGCACTTCATGCTTCCAAACAATACAAATGGAGCAAGGTTTATTTCCACAATCTGAAAAATTTCACTTGCTGGTACCTTCCCATCAAATAGTTTGTTAAAGGCAAAAGAACAAGTTAAACTTTTTTTAACAGCCAACTGGCAATATCTGGAGGCAAGACCAAAAAAACAAAAAACAAAAAAATTAATACTCAAAATGATTTATTTATCTCTGGGTCAGTCTGTTACAGCAAAAACAATAAGACTCTGGTAATACCTTGAAGAGTAACAAGCTTTGTTCAGCATCAGTCTTCTAATGAAATGGGTTGTAGCCCAGAGAAGTTTATTTATTTCACTTATGTCCTACTTTCCTCCTCAGTGGGACCCAAGACAGCTTACAACATAATATTTAAAAGCAAGCTCAACTAAAAATGTAATTACAATACTTCAGCAGTATTAGATAAGCACACCAATAAAACTGGTCTTCAGTAGTACAAGATCCTTTGTTTTAAATATATATTTATTAATTTTTTTAATGACACCATTCCTCTCTCCCAAAAAGTTAATGCATGTGGTTCACTGTCCCTCATATCATCCTCATCAGACTGTAAGGTGGGTCAGACCAACTGCAATAATGAACACAAGGCTGCCCAGTGAGTTTCATGGCTGAGTGAAGAACAACCTCATGCTCTTCTGGTCTGGTCTAATACTATAGCCATTAGACCTCATATTTATTTTCATGCCACTACAGAAATAGTGGCATGAAAATAAAAATGGGAATGAGGCACACACTGATGCTCTTTTATGGTTGGTTTACCTCCAACCCTCCCACTTGTTCTCTGCAAATTATAGACATCCCACCTCTGCCGAATGGCTCCCTGCTATTCCGAATCCCTAATATTCCAGCCAGAGGCTGCTGTAGGGCAGATCATTCTCTTTAATTGATGCCGGGCTCAATGATCCATACGGTCCTTTCCAGCTCTACAGCTCTAAGATTATTATTCTTATAATCCACTCAGTCCTCTCAGCTGTAAAAGTATGAATTAGGAATAAAGTGGCAGATGTTTTTGGACTCTAGCTCCCATATTCCCTACCGCTGGTGATGCTAATTTAAAACAGATGGGAACGGTAGGCCAAAAACATCTGCAGCACCGTATGTTTTTAGCCTGTAGTCATGTGACTGAGCGGACCAGAAATTGTTGCTTCAATGGGAGTGATCTCCCTTAAAATGATCCTTGCACCTGCTGGGGAATCACTTCAGCCCAGCCTCTAAAAGTAGAAGCCCTACCGCTAGACCAAAAGAGTCTAGCTTGGCCACAGATCAGGATCAGGCTGGTGCCCGTTTATGTGATTGCCATGTGATCCCTGGGAAATGACCACATCAGACTGCTTCACAACCAATCCAAATTGTCATCTATTTCTCCATGTGTTCACACCCACAGTTGCCCAGCCTAAGTATAAATACTATAAACCAATCAAGCTGGAGCCGTCATCCCAACTTGTGCTGAGTGTCAGACTAAGATCCGGGAACCTCAGGTTTAAATCCTCACTCAGTTATGAGGCTCACAGAGTGATTCTGGGCCAGTCACGCTCTTCTCTTCTCTACCTAACTCACAAGTCAGTTCTTGTGAAACCATGGATGGTGGTCATTGGACTCTGTAAGCTTCTTGGGGAATGGGAGGAGTGTGTGTGTGGGGGGGTAATCATAACAGCAGACCATGCACACATTTTTTTTTAGTTACCAACCACTTCAGCAAAACTGGAAGGCAATCAGGTTTTCTTCAAAATATTAATATATGTTTAGCTCCTAAGGGGATTTGAGCTCTCCTCTGCCCCTCCTCTCAAGCCAGCTTCTTGCTTGGCTTTAGTTCACCAACAACAGCTTAAAGCTTCCTAATCCCCTCTGTGGACCCTACTGAGAGTGGCCACCATGCAATTAGCAACAGGGAATGCAAAAACTCCGATGGCAACCATGCCCCGACCGCATCCTCTTCCCCTTCATCTCCCCCATCCTGCCTACCTTGCGGGATTTGGCTCGGTCTGCCTGTCGGCCACACGTGGGAAAGGATTGCAGCCACCTCTGGGATGAGATTAACAGGAACACAGCCATCTAGAAAATGCTCCAGCACGCTTGCAAGACGTGATCCTGGCTCTGCCTTGGCTGTGAATGGAAATTAGTGCCGTTTGCTGAATGGGAACAGCTGTGCCTGATTTAGGAACTGCTATTCCCAGAGAGGCTGTAGAGCACAGATGAAAGGCAAAGGAGGCTAGGAGCCAGGACTCCTGGGTTCCAGCCATGGCTCAGAGAACAGCAGAAGGAACAGGAGTAGATGATTGTGCTGGGAAGTAGGGGAGTCTTTTATGTTTTAGTCTGTGTTTAAAGAGCAGCGTGTATATGGGGGGGGGACGCAAGATAGAGTTGCAAGCTGGGTGTCTGAGAGTGCTCTGCCAACATGACCACTGGCTGCTTGTAGAGCAGCCAGCCAGTGTGTGTGCAAGAATGCCTGCATGAGTGTGAGTCACATCTGCTCTTTCAGACTGAGTTTCTCCCTCCCTTCCTCTGCCCCCCCCAAATCAGGATAATAAAACTGCTACCCTGTTTCCCTGAAAAGAAGACCTAACCTGAAAATAAGCCCTAGTATGATTTTTCAGGATGCTTGTAAGATAAGCCCTACCCCCAAAATAAGCCCCAGTTAAGTGAAACCCTACCGTCCACCATTGTGCAGGAGCCAGAAGAAGACATGACTGTAAAATAAAACATCTCCTGAAAATAAGCCCTAATGTGTTTTTTGGAGCAAAAATTAATATAAGACCCTGTCTTATTTTCAGAGAACCAGAGTATAAACCTGTCGAGATGCACAATTCCAGGAAGGCTCAAGGACGTTGAACAAAAGCTCTTCTTGGCAGACAGTGAGAAGAAAATAAACCCAGAGCAACCATATAGGTTTGTGTGAGAAAAAGAATATTAACTAACTTTGTAGGAGCTATAAAAAGTGTTGAGAGGCCGCAGCATACGAACGCATCAGAGGAGGGCATCCTGTATGTGCTCCTGTATCTAGAATCGAATTTGAAGGGAGGAAGGTGGGAAGCTAGAGAAACGAGACGATCTTGTAGGAGGGCAATCCTAAACCCCATGGCAAATAATGGGGGTAGGGAGAGGACTGCTGGGGCCCCATAGTGGTCTGCGAAAGCCAGATGGGATTTTTCAAGGCAAACTTAGCATGCTTGTTGCTTTGCTTTACACTTAAACCAGGACTTTGAAACTGCATGGTAGAAACACTAAGGAAGATGGTAATGCCTCCCCCTGGCCCCGCAGCTAATTCTATCCGTGTCAGTGGGAAGGTGGTATTCATCCAGAAGTACTGGACTCGAGTGACATGCAGAAACCAACTCATGAAGGGCTTTCAGACCTGTCATTTGGAGGCCCTATCTCCTCCAGAAGTCTTTTATCAGCAATCCCCCCCCAGATCTTAATGCTGGTTCTTCCTGTACCTCCAGAAACAGTTGAGTCAAGAAAAGCGTAGAAGTCTCAGAGGGCAGTCTGAAAGAGATGCAAAATTCTGGTCTAAGAATGGGGATCCTGTGGCTCTCCAGACATACTGCTGGACTCCAAACTCCTGATCAGCCCCAGTCAGCATGGCAAATGATGAGTTCGGTTCCAAAGCCATCTGGAAGGCCGGACGTTGCATTGTGGAAGCAGATCACAATTTTACAAGTCTTTACACTATGTGCAGCAAATAAGAGATAAAGAAGTAAGTCAGAGAGTGTTCTGGCTGTGCTGGTTCCTTGTAGAAGCTTCAAAGCTACATTATATGATAAGCTTGTAAGGACAATAGCTTTGCTGTTGCTGTGCCTGTGTAACTAAGGTATAAAAAATGGGGAAAGTGTGTTGCTGGGAAGAACTTTGCAGGGGGGGTTGGGCTGAGGATTGTCTTGCAGGTTAGGAAAGAAGTTTTACTGCAGTCTTCTGGGATTGTTGTTTTTCCCCCTTGCTTCTATAGGACACACTTGATTCTAGACTAATTATCATGGATGCAGTGCTAAGAGGTAAAGATAAAACTAAACCATGATAGGATTTTTCCTCCGCTACCAGATAAGAAGATACATTCTTCCACCTCCCCTGTCTGCAGTCGTTCTCACATCCTCTGAAGGGCTTAGAAGAGGGTTGGGCAACTGTGGCTCTTCAGATGCTTTTGGCTAAAACGCCCACGAAGCCTAGCCAGCATAGCCCATGGACTGATTATGGGTTCTGTGCCCTATGCATCTGGAAGGCTGGATGCACAGATGCCCACTCTGACTTAGATAGCACAAACACTGTAGATGGGGGTAAGGGGTGTGTGTGAGGAACTGTGCCATACTATTTATTTGCACTACCTCACTGAACACACATACTTCCCTGACTGGCAATGTTTTTGTCAACCGTGCCGGCAGGACCAAATGTCAGGGATGTGGAAGTTGAAGGAAGTTTAATTAGAGGCTACCTTGTATTTCTTCCTATTTTGCAAGTCTAGGGAGGGTGACAAAAAGACTGCTTATACAGTATATACCACCTTTTCATGAGCCTCTGGAGGAAAAGTAAGGTTTCCATCTGAGAAAAACTTCAAACCGTTACAGCTTGCATGCAAACCTCACGGCTCCAGTTTTTTCAGACTCACCAATGCGAGTGTATCTCAAAGGGCTCTTACTCTCAGAACGCTTGTTCTGGTTGCCATAAAACCCTGAGGCACAATAAACCGAATTCTGTTCTAAAGCAACACCCCTCCTCTTGTTTCCTCACCACATGGCAGCTACAGTACAGAAAGCCTAGAGCTTCTCAAGGCCATCCATTTTCACTCCTATTATTACCAGCACCCACCCAGCACTCAGGGAGGGAGGGAATGTCATTGTAGCTTTATTGTTATATTCTGAGAACGAAGAATAACATATCACATGATGAATGGGAAAAGTGGGGTCCCTCCCTCAAGGCATACCTTAAAAATAGAACGGATGAAAAAGCAATTTAGGGCTGGAACCACAGTGCCCTCAATCTTTTAGAACACAGAAGAGAACACGAATATTTCCTATGGTCATTTCCAAACATTGTGCAGAAAGCTTTATTCTTCTGTCATTGGTAGGAGCTGTTTATCGTGCCAATCCCTGGCCTGTACACAGCAGAGATTGGCACGAAAGGGGGGAGGGAGAGAAAGACACACAGCAGGCAGAAACCCTATAGCCAGTTCACCCACTGCGCAGGGCCGCAGTAAGAGGAAAGCTTCATCTCCGATGCTGCGGCTTCTTATTTGGTTGTGAAAAACTAAGAGCACTCTCAGAAATGCAGAATGAAATAGGGATACTAATTATTGCTTGTATGTGGGCAAAAGAACTATAAACATCTGATTTGGGCATGGCCACCCCACCTCCATGTGGGGCGAATGCCTGGTGCTGTTAACCCAGAGAACTGAATTCCTGATTTGCAACCAGTGACATGATCTGACTAAATGGGCACAGGTTTGGCTTTGGGAGACAGAGAGCTGGTTTATACAGTGCAAAAGCAGGCAGAGAGAGAGATGAAAGATAAATATAGTACTCCACCGCAAGGCTCCAGGACAGTACCATCTGCTCAGGGCCTAGTTTTGGTCAGGAGTGGCTGGTGCTGCCAATTTCTAGTACACCCATTACAGAGCTAAGAAAAGGCCTGGCAGAGACTGAAAGAACCCTCCAACCTTTCCTTTTCCTGTCTTCAGGGTACCCATGCTGGCACACTTCATTCTCTTCTGCCCACACCTCCTCTGTTTATACACAGGTGACCTCCTGGCTCTGTGGGGCCTTCTGCCCGCATCCTAAGGCTGGCTGTCCTATCCCCTCAGGATCCCAGAGAGGCCTGTAGTTATTGTAAGCAGGCAGCGGGTGGAACACTGACAGCCACCACAAGGGATCGATAGGTATGTGGGGAAGGACAAAGGGCCCTGAAGCAGAATGCCACAGGACTAGTAGGATGTATCCCATTTTACATTGCTTAAAAATGCCACCCTTTCCAGGCGGCTGAGCATTTCCTTTCCCATTCAGAAAGAGAGAAGTTGACAGAAAAGATCAGAGTATCTTGGAGGTTTATTCTCAGTATACAGACAGACAGTGAGGTGCTCATTCTTCATCATCAGGAGGCAGCACAATCTTGCTGGGGTCAAAACAGTAGTAGTCCATGACAGGCAACCCCTTTGCTTCCCGCTCCTTCACAAGCCGTTCAGCTTCTCGGTAACCCCAGTCCGTCATCCTGAAGTAGGGAGAGAAGACCAAACAGAAACAGAGTGGGCTATTAAGGAAAGGAGTCAGTATAGCCATAAAATAACAGGAATATGAACCCTTTGGCATGCTACCTGTTTGGAAAGTTGTCGTCAAAAACATCCAAAGTGCCAAAATTGTCTGCCCTGACCTATAAAAATGGGCTCTGGCTCCTGCCATAGAATAAACGCCATCCTGAAGTTCAGGCTTGGCATATATTAAGCTACAAAGAAAATGTGATGTGCGTGTATGAAGGCTAGAACACCTGACGGCTCATTGGGGTCATCTGAATGTATAGGCAAGGGCATCGAGTGAAAAAACAAAGCCAAATTCTACCGTCATGGAAAATAGCATTAATGCTTCAAATGGATGTAAATGAAAATGAATTATTTTGCAGTCATTCTTGCTCAATCTGTATGCTGGAACCTAAACCAGACTCCCATTCCCACTACTAATTAGAAAGGGGAGACAGTACTGAACTTGAGTTTCTTTGGAAGAGAGAAAGATGTAGCAGTTGTAATGCGAATACACATAAATGGAAGAAAGTAGAATTTTCTAGATAAAGATAGGGATGGCCAAGCACAGAAGCCTATTTCCTTGAAGCATAATAGAGCCTGCAGAAATTTTGTGACCATGAGGACTAGATACTTGTTTAAACACCCCCCCTGGCAAGCTAGGTCCTACACCAAAAACTCAATTTGGCATGTACCGTAGAAATGATCATAAAGGTATGGTTCGCAGAATCTTCAGGAAAGAGGAATATTTTATAGCAACCATTCTCAACCTTTTAAGGTCATGGTCATAAACATAGTATGAAACAAATATAAGCCAAATCAGGATTGTATAAAATGGAATACCAAATCATATAGGGTGGAGTGTGAAAAATTGTTCCCAATCTGTGGCCCCCTTCAAATGTGCCAGGGTCCCAGGAGCAGCCATACAGCCCCTGTTGAGAATGGCTGCTTTATAGCACTATACTCCCCAACTACAAAAACCCAATGTCTCTACTCCATTCCAAAGCATATTTCCTAGGATGTTCTCAATTGTGCCGTACCTTCTAGCAATGCATTTATTTATTTATTTATTATTTATTTATTTGATTTTTACCCCGCCCCTCTAGACCATGTCTACTCGGGGCGGCTTACAAAATAAAACAAAACAGTATAAAATATATAAAATCATAAGATTACAACTACAATTTCAATTTAAAACAATTAATTTAAAGAGAGAATTACCAAGATGGAATAGCAAAGAAAAAAAAAAAAGAGAAAGACTTAATTGACTGGAGGGAAGGCATTGAAATCAGAGCTATCAGGATGCACTCCTAGCTGTTTGCCTCTAAGATTCTTCGTTTACCATCAGCAGAAGTTGGAGTGCGAACCCAATCAAAGCTACAGCACTAATTACACTGTGCCAAGATGAAGCGCAAAGCTGCTTGCCTTAATTAGTGCTTCGTTACAGAGTCACCAACCTGCTGCTTGGCTGGCAGAAACAAGACACAGACTCTCCCCATTCCTGTAAAACTCTCCCCCCACCCCCCCAAAATGTCTTCCAGTTTCAGGGCCACTGGGAAAGGTTCCTGGCAAAACCCTAAAAATAGCTGGGATAGGCTGGTGGGTGGAGGCCTCATGACCAATTTCCATTAAGTTACTGACCGGCAACTTTTTGATCCCTGTCTGAGCCAGACCCACACACCCGAGCGAGTCGCTGTTGATCAAGTGCACTCCCTGCTCGCCTTCCCTTTGAGACCTCCTGCCCGAGACCTAATCAGAGCTCCTGGCAGAGAGAGAAGCTGACTGGAGACCACTGCTTTTACGTATTTGTTTTCTATATGTAAAAACCAAAGAGTCAGTCAGCTTGGCTGCTTTGGTGGCTCAGAGAAGCGGTAATGGGGCCTGGCCTAGTTTGCAGCCGCCCGCTGCTATTTCCATCTCGCCTTCAAACGGACAGCATGAAGTCAGGCAAATTTCAACAGAGGGAGGGCAAGGCGGTTCTTTAAACTCTTCCCACTCTGATGGTACATGGAAGCGGCATCATTCCTATTGTACTTCTGAATAAACCTCTAAGCCAGCATTTCTCAAACTTGCTTGGGCTCAGCACGGCCTCCAAGCGCGTCCCACCCCACCTCTACCAGCAGCCTTGCTTTCACATGCAAGTGCTCGGAACTCATGTACAGATCCAGCCTCCCTTTCTGCGAGACTTGTAAGAGTTTGTGGACGGGGGGGGGGCACTACCTGAAATGCTGCCCTGATGAGTCACCTGGAGCGGCACATGACAGTCTCCCTTCCTAAAACCGTCCATCTATTCCAGAAAAAAAAATAATTAAAAGAAACGAGAGGGGTGGGGGAAAGGAAGCGATTGTGCCACTCCTTGAAGGCGCTCGACTCTCTGTAGCACCCACACTTGACCGATGGCAGCTAAGCCTTTGCAAGGGGGAGAAATGTAGAGCTGGGCTTTCCGGGGTCAGGATCTTTTCCCGCCTAACAACTCTACATCACACCTAAATATGAGGTGCTCCTCCTAACCAGAGGTAGGGACTGCTTGGAACACCAGAACAGACTGCAGTTCCTTGTCTCTGGCCTTGTCGGCTGGGGCATCTGGGAAGTGAAGTCTACAATATGTGGTGGTCAAGCATTTCCCCACCCTTGAGAGCCCAGTCTTGACAGGGAGAGCAGGGCCAAGAATGAGCATTGGCCTTGTCGGCTGGGGCATCTGGGAAGTGAAGCCCACCATATGTGGTGGTCAAGCATTTCCCCACCCTTGAGAGCCCAGTCTTGATAGGGAGAGCAGGGCCAAGAACCTTATCTGATTTGGTGGGCAATTCCTGCTATCTGACTCCTGCGTGTTCTTCAGCTGAACAGAAGCACCTCATTCACAGCAAGGGCTTGTCTAGCGTCCTCCTTAGCTGCCAGGCCCCGCTAGCAACCAGGGGCATGGCTTGGCGCCACAGTGTCCAACGCTTTGGCTTTTCAAGCCAGCTATGGTTGCCTTCACAACTAGTATGCTCCGGAGTATACAGAAAGGGACTATTTGCTAGGGATCCTATGGACTGGGGAGGAAGTTGGGAAAAACTCTTCCCACTCTGATGGTACATGGAAAGGAGGCGGCATCATTCCTATTGTACTTCTGAGTTAAACCTCTAAGCCAGCATTTCTCAAACTTGCTTGGGCTCAGCACGGCCTCCAAGCGCGTCCCACCCCACCTCTACCAGCAGCCTTGCTTTCACATGCAAGTGCTCGGAACTCATGTACAGATCCAGCCTCCCTTTCTGCGAGACTTGTAAGAGTTTGTGGACGGGGGGGGGGCACTACCTGAAATGCTGCCCTGATGAGTCACCTGGAGCGGCACATGATAGTCTCCCTTCCTAATTCCTTTGGGAATTCTAAGGCAGGCCAAAGCCAAGATTTTAAGAAGCCAGTATAGAAGAGGTGCTCTGGAGCACTTAGGAACATGTTTCCAGACATGTCTGAAGGAAGAAGAATATTCCCATTTAAATGCTGCTGATACACTATGTTTGCTCCCCAGTGTAGCAGTAACAGGGACCAAAAAAGGAGGGAGAGGCAGACCTTCCATCTCCAGCAGAGAGCACTGTAGGATTTATTCATTTTTTCTATTCTAGGAGGGAACTTCGGAAACAGGGCATTATTGCAATATGCACCTTGTAGGCAAGGCTGATACACTGTGCAATGAAGTCTGCTTATCCATGAGTTTGTCACAGTTTCTCTTCCCTGCCCTCTCCAGCTGCTCTACTTCTCCTAGGGGATAATCCCCTCTACTAGAGAGAACAGGCGGCTCAATC